CTTTGCTGGGGCTTGCAGTGACCCTGGAGACCAGTCCCAGTGCTGGGAAGGTGACAGACTCGGATCGTGCCTGGTGCTCAGCATGCCAGGTGCTCCCCAGCCTGTACTGCAGGAAGGTGCTTGGCAAGCAGGGGCCTGAGACACACCATCCCCAGTCCCTGTTCTGCTCCAGGGAGGACCCACAGGCACGTGACTGGGGTGATGGGTCAACAAGTACTGTGGGCAGGGCAGCTTAGCCCCCCTCAAGCAGGCAAGTCCCAAGGACAATTCTGAGAGCAGCAGAATGGGCATCTTGTGGGTGAGCTTGGCCCCAAACCCAACAAATTCCTGCCCAGCAGGACAGGGCAAGGGCCCTGCCATGGTCCAGTGCTCCCTGAACCACTGTCCCCAGCCCGTGAGTGGCACGGAGTGACAAGAGGCAAGCAGCTGCCAGAGTCCCTCGGGGCTGGCCCTATCCCCAGCTGTGTGCAGGAGGGACTGCATGTGCACCAAGCCCAGACATGCCTCAGAAACACGTAAGATGCCTTGGCTTTACCCTCTGTTCATAGCTCACCTCAGCCCCACAGCTGACTAGTGCTTGGGAGCCTGCGTGCAGGCAAGAGCGTGCGTGACAGGCTGCACCTCCCCAGAGCCTGCCAAGTCCCCAGGGGCCCCACATCCTGCATTTGGGGACAAAAGGGAAGAGGGACACACCCTGGGCCATTTCTTCATGGAGGTTTTGCTACACCATTTTGCTCTCCAGCCAAAGCCGGCTGGCGATGCCAAGCCAACACTCCAAGTCCTGCTTTGGAAATGCACTTTTCAGCAAGATGGTGATTTGCCAACACCCTTTGAGTCCCACTTGCTGCCTGTCCCTGGAGGCTGCTGGGTGCCAGCAAAGCCAGCGGTGAGTGGGAAGGCGGTCAGTGCCAGCCCCTTTGGCTGTCTGCAGGCATAGCCAACAGCACACAGACACCCAGAAAGCAGCCCAGGTGCTGGGAACAGCCACATTCCCGATTTAATCCCAGCTCTGAGGTGGCTGGAGGCAGCTCAGAGCAGAGGGATGCGTGAGGGTTCCCAGAGTCGCCGGGCCAAGTCGCAGGCCTGCTGGACCACGAGCTCAGAGGGGATGATGCCCAGGTGCAAGGTCAGCAGCTCGTAGCACTTCACCACTTCCGCCTGATGGTTCTTGCTGTAATAACGCAGCAGCTTCCTGGGGACGAGAAGACAGGGGCCTTGGCTTGCACAGCAGACTGGCACCCCTTTTCTAACCACCTTCCCCCTAGAAAGTGCCTGGCAAGGACAAAGTGCCCGCTTATTGCTAGGACCACAGCACCAGGCTGGGAAGATGGGCTGGTGCAGGCCTGGTGACACCACATCCCCAGTACCACCCTGCAGTGACATCCTGGCGAGGGCAGCATCACTCAGAGTACAGCCCCAGGGCCTGGTGTCAAATGGCAGGGCAAGGGACGGCTCACCTATAGTAATCTCCTGCCAGCATCCCCATGGGAGCAGAATCATCAGAAAGAACCGGCACCTCCATCACCTCCAGCTTGTAGCCCTGGGGAGAGATGACAGCAGAGGGCAGGAACAGGGAAGGGACCACTGAGGAACCACAGCTGACTGTGCCTACAGCCCTGCTCTCTGCTCTCAAAGTGTGTTGGAGCAGAGGGGCTCCAGCCCTTTCCTGGCCTCACATACCAGCTCGTTCTCAAACCAGAGGAAGTAGGAGCAGCAGTAGTCACCATCCTGCAGCATGAGCGTGGTGTAGCCCTTCTGTAGGTATCTCCGGGCCAATGCAATCAGGGACCAGACCTGGAGGACAAGGGGCACTTGAAGCCTCAGCAGAAAATCCTCCAACCATCACCCTCTCCTGTGGGCACCATCCCACCCCCAGCCCCAGGAGCAGTACCTTTCTCTTGATGAAGGTGGCCAGGGGGCCCTTGCCCAGCTCTGAGCTGGACTTCTCTGTCACGCTGAGCGATGGTGCCATCATCTGCCCAGCTGTGCGGTCCACATAGATGAAGTGCACCAGGCCAGGAAAGTCCTCCAGGTATGTGGGGTGAGTTAAGGGTTGTCCAACAACTTTGGTGTCCTTCCAGGACAGTCCCTGAGCCTTAGGGAAACCACCTTCACCCACCACACTCCTCCCTGCTTAAGCCCAGTGTTGGGACAGCATGGTCCCACTCCCACCTCTGCTACTCCCCTGGGAACCCCTACTTGCCAGGCTGGCTTCCCAGCCGCAGGGATGGGTATGACACCATGGTGATATTGCGCCTGCTCTTCACCAGCAGAAAGTCCCGCCAGTCCAGCAGCTTCTCCCTGCCGAGAAGAGGTGTGGTGATAGAGTGGGTCCCCTCAAGCCTCAACTCAGTTGAGTGTGGGGCAGCACCCTGGGGATGCTGGCCACCTCTGTGCACTCACCTCATCAGCTTCTGGGCACGGTCCTGTAGCCCCTGGGACAGGCTGTGGCCGGTGGAAGACAGGAAGAGCTGGCGGGAAACAGAGCAGAGCTGTCGCTTCACATTGGCCACTGCCTGCAGCAGTCTGAGCCGAGAGACAAGGATGGTGCCGAGTTTGGCCTCTGGGTAGCCAGAGCTGTGAGGACAGCCATCCTGCCCTCAGGCTTGGAAAGGTCCCTGCCTGCCCCAGAGACTTTCTCTGGCCACCTTGTACTCACTCCGGAGAGCTCCCAGGCTCACTCCGTGAAAATATCTTGTTCTTAAAGTCTGTCCAGGTGTTCTGCAACTAGAGAGAAGCAAGAATTGGCATCAAGCTGTGGGGGCAGCAGGACAGTGTTCTCCTGTCCCCACTCCCACCTGGATATCCTGCCCGCTCAGCTTCTTCACAAACTTGTCCATGCGCTGCCGCAGCTCAGTCAGGAAGGGATAGGAGCGTGGGACTCCCACCTCCGGTCCCTCTTCCAGCTTCTTCTCCAGCACCAAGAAACCATCCAGAAGCTGGTACAAGGTGACAGCCACCTGGGTTGTGGGGCCCTGCCAGGGAAGGGACAGGCGGGTCAGCAAGGACCCTGCTCTACACTGCTTCCCTCACCTTAGAAGAAGCTCACCTTGGTCAGGAGGACAAGGGAGATGCCTGGCCAAAGCGGAATGCAGTGCATGGTGTGAGGCAGCAAGGGACAGTACCCTTCTCGCAGGTTGGCATCCAGGAAAATCCTTCTGGGGTTTGAAGCTTCAGGGACAAGAGGCCCCAAGGTCTGGAGTAAGTCCTCTGCCATCTGCGGAGAGAGGAGAGATGCTCAGTCCCCTGCGGGGATGAGACAAGCCACAATGACCCAGGATGATCTCGAGAGACACGGCAATTCCCTAAAAGCTGCAACGAGACACAACTGAACTGAGGAAGCTGGAAGGGTCGCTTGCAAAAGATCAGCAGTGAGGAAGGGCTCAAGGATCCCAAAAAGAGCAGCAGATAGAGGGGAAGCTGCTGGCAAAGACACAAGTCACAGATGTCTTATGCCACATCCAGCACTCGCTTGTAGAGCTGCAGAGGGAAGCAGTCCAGAGAGCCCAGAGGCAGCAGAGGGAGACACCAGACTGCTCTGAGGCAGCCCCAGCCCCTCTGTGCTGACAGCTCTGGATAGGGAGACCATAAACAATGTCCCAGAGAGGGTGGTCAGAGCCCTCAAGTGGTTATTCCCAATGTGGAGGACATGGAGTGCAGGCCCAGCCTTAGAGCTTGGGCATTCACAGCTGCAGCTGAGCAAAGGATGAGTGATGAGGGCCAGAAATTGCAAAGAGGGCCAGAAATTGCAAAGAGGGCCAGGACAGGCTGAGGAAGTGTGGAGCCAGGAAGCACTGCAGAACCCCTTGCTTACCTGGACGTCTGCAGTGTCTGCCTCCCCGGTGCTCAGCATCTCAGCGTCTTCCAACCAGCTCTCGCTGCCTGCAGAGAGTAAGGCAGGTCGCCCTCCCAGCCAGCCTCCCAAACAATCCCAAAGCCTCTGCAGGGCTGGGGTGTGTGGGGCAGGGCTGCTGCCCAGACAGGCACTCACCCGAGCTGTGCCTGCCTGGCGAGGGCTCAGGTGTGTAGTAAACCTCAGGCACAGAGGTATCGTCTGTGTCCTGCCAGTGAGAAGGCCTGGGTCAGTGACAGGAGTGCTGCAGGCAGCCCAGCCAGCCTTCCACCCTGCAGCTCCTGAACACAGGGACTCACTTGGTCATCCAAATCCTTCTCCACAGCATCATGGGAGCCAGGGCTGCTCACAGGGATGCTCTCACTTCTCTTGGGTTCCTGGGGGAGCACACTCCCTGCATTGGGCTTACAAAAAGAGGGTTATAAAAATGAAGCCCTGGCCACTAAGGCACCACCCTGTGAGGGTATCCCAACCCACTGCCCCCCACGCCTTGCTTTGGAGCACCTGAGGGCCAAGCTCCTCTTCGGCACTCTGGCTTGGATAGAGGTCCTGCACCAGGAGGATGAGGATGAGCAGGTCAGCAGGGCGGATGGAGCTGGCGTTGCGGCTGCAGGCCAGAGAAAGAAAGGGTCAGCCGGGAGTGTGAGCCCTGGGGAGTGTGGCAGGGCTGGGGCTGGGCTCACCTGGAGTAGAAGGCCAGCAGTTTGGTGTGCACCAGGAGAAAGGCATGGCCCACTTCGTCCCCACCACGCTCAGGGCTGGCGTTGATGTGCTGCACCACTTCGCGCTCCAGGAACTCGATGCACTGCTCACACAGCTGAGGGTGGATCAGCCGCTCCACAGCC